AGGCCATCCACAGAATGGGAGGAAATGTTTGCAAATCATTTGTCTGAAAAGGGACTTCTTTCTAGAATATATGAAGGACTCATAACTCAATGGTAAAAGACGAATAACCAGTTGTTCAAAATGAGCAAAGGATTTAAATAGAAATTTCTCCAAAGAAAATATATGAGGAGTCACATGACCTTTGGAGGCCCACAGCTCTGCCCCCAGCTGCCAATGCCAGCTCATAAGAACAGCTCTCTGCATCAGGAACTGAGCATGTCTTGTGGCTTGTTCACCTAAAACATACCTCCCTGAGTCCTCAGAGTTTTCAACATTAAAAAAAAGTGGGGAAGGGGGAGAGAAAGGGTGTATTCTATAGCAAAAAAGCAGAATGTGAGTCATGAAAGTAGAAAAATAAGTTTGGTTAGTAATTTAGGAAAATAGGTTAATTTCACATGATATCCAAACAAACCCAGGAGTCAGAGGCAAACTCAGAGAGCTTTGATAAATCATTTAAACACTGTGTGTACGCTCTATATGACAATTCAGAGTGTGTTGGCCCTCAGAGGAGAGGCCTGATGGGTGGGGCTGTGATGAGAATTGTAAGCCTCGAACATCTCTGCAGTTGTTTACCCCATGTTCTGTACTCTGCTGACTTGACGGCCGTGGGGTCTCGTTGCCTCATCCTGACAGGAAGGTTCTCGCAGTCCCTTTCAGGGGTGAGAACCAGCCCCCGCAGAGATTGCTGACCCCTACCTTTGCTCTCGGGGTCTCTCTGCACCCGTCCAAGGGAGGAAGCTGTGTTTCCTGAGAAGCTTATCCTGGCGTGACACTGACAGGACCCCTCCCGGGCCTCCCCACCCCGGCACAGGAAAGGGCCTGTGCATTATTTACATTGTGCAGGCTTCAGAATGGGGCTGGATTTAGTTACCAGCAAGGGCAGTGGCAGCAGCACAGAGTGGGTTGCAGATAAAGAGACTGCTTACAGTCAGAAGCCCTGGCTGTGGGAACCGCACACCACGAGGAACCTCTCAGGACACCTCTGTGTCACCTGGGACTTTCTTGCCTGGCCATCAGAGGTTCTCATTGTGGATAAAAGCTCTGGCCATCCTTTCCTTTTATTCCCTGGCCCACATGCACCTTTGTCACAGCCCTCAGAGACAGGGGCTGGGTCAGGCTTTGCAGCCCTAGGTGGCCTCAGAAAAACTACAATGGCAACTCAGATGTGTACAGTTAATGAAGTACTTATCACATGCATTTTCTCATTAATTTCTCACAGCAAGCCTGTGAGTTAATAGTAATCATAACCAACATTTCCTGAGTGCCTACTGAGTGTGGATGTAATTATACATACACACATACACATCTACATACATACCTATGCACATATACTCCTTATGAGACTTCTGCAAGGTAGATATTATTATTATTCCCATTTTATAGATGAGCAAGCTGGGGCTTACTGAGATTAAATAACTTGTCCAAAGTCATAGAGATAGTAGTGGCACTGCTGGAAGACTGACCCCAGGATTTGATATTTTCTACCACGTCACCTCTGTAAGAGTCAATATTTGGTTGAAAATCTCACAGACGAGAGAGCACACAAAGGGTACTCTGCGTCTTTTCCATCTCATCAACTTAGCTTACTCCAGTCCTGGAAACACATGGTCTGCTGGTCATTCAAAGCCACCACTTGGCTCATTTACCAGGTTGGATCAAGCTCATTCGTGTGTTTTTCTTTTTCACAGCGCCCCTCCACTCACTGAGAAGGAGGTTGAGGTAAGTGACTCTGGTGTCTCATGAAACTTCACACCTGTGCTTCACTTGGGCTTACTCAAAAGATTCCTTTCTCCAGCCTCTGGCCCTGCTATTTTTACACAAAAATGAGAATGAGTGACTATGGGATAATATGGACACTGGTGACCAGTCCTACTGAACCACTGAGATCCCTACTCCCACCTCAGTTAATGGAAGATTTTGACAAATTTGGTCAGAGGTGAGAAGGTAGTTGGAAATTCCATATTCCTTCAAGAATTGTTTATGTTCTTTAAATGTGTGGCTTAGAAACACAAAGTCAGCTGGGAGGCTGCTGAATTATATCAAATTTATTTCAAAATTATTAAAAATGGTCAGATTTCAAGTTTCAAACTTCAGTCTAGAGGACAAAGGTACTTGCCTTCTGAGGGTTTCACTACAAGAATTAGCCAGCACAGTGAGGCAGGAGGCTGTGCTGTCAACAACCCAGCCTTGCCTGCTCCGTTACGGTCCATGGGGCCTCCCTGTCCCAGTGCAGGTGTTGAGTGGGTTGAAAGGAATTTGCATTTCATTTTGGAGAAGGGGTAGATGGACAGAGAGAATGTATCCAAGGTGAGACATTGAGAACTGCTAATGAGGACCAGATAAGCACAGGAAGACAGACAGTATGAAATAGTTACCCACAGATAGGAACACTAATTTCACACATAGATACTGTACTCACAGTTTATAAGATATTCATATCCACCTTTCGTCTGATCCTCTCAGCCTCTCTGAAAAGCAGATTGAGCAGGAATTAGAACAAAGGAGAAAACTGAGTGATGAAATAACTTACCCCAGGTCCCAGATCCAGTATTTAGCAAAACCAAGATTTGGACCTTGGTGTTCCGACTGAATGCAGGACTCTTTATGTCACACTTCTGCTAAGGGGATAGCCCAGGTATAGAAAACCAAGCACTGAGCATTATAAATAGGGTTGACTGAGGCCTGGGTAGAGCAGAGAATCCCCATCACTGGGCTGTGAGCTCAAAGCCCACTCATTGACTTTTTGAAGATGGGCCATGGGCAGTTTGTTTAAAGCCAGATCCTGTCCTGGAACAATCAGCTCTCAGCATGGTGGAAGTAAAACAGGCTTTAGAATTACACAGTCCAAGATTAAATCCTGGCTCTGCGACTCCCTGTGTCACCTTGAACAAGTTAATGAACTCTCTGGTCTTGGTCCCTTTACCCATAAAATGGTTATAGCAGTTCCCATCTAGAGAGTTGTTGTGGGATTAAATGAGCTAAAGTTCGTAAAATTCATAGCAGTGCTGGCATATAGTAGATGCTTAATGAGCACTTTTCAATATTGCCATCAACATCATTACTGGGTCACTTAAGTGACTTTAGTTCTCTGTCTGGAGATGTCTGCCCACTACGGACCAGGTTACATGAGCTTCTGGAAGCTCGGGCATAGTTAGTAATCACAGGATATAAATCTGCTGCCACTTGATGCAGGCAGGGCAGATGAAGGCTGTAAAATTGAAGACCATTGCTTCCTTCCTGTGTGGAGTCCCTCTGTCTATTTCTCCTCCCCAGAAGTTTCCTATTATTCCAGGAATTCCATGTCTAATCGACACCACTTTTTAAAAGTTCATTCATTCAGGCTGCAGTTTTGGCATGAAATTTTTTATTGAAATTTTTATGAAATTTATTTATTCCAGAAAGCTTATTCTAACAGAATCATACCTAGCCTTATTTAATCTCCTGGAAGCTACCTAAAGCTGCTATTGATGTAGGATTTGGAATACTCAGGCTAGATGCTGGTTAAAGTTTGCTTTGAGTCAACAAGGCTTAAATCTCAAATGGGGTTTCTTTAAATAATGTTTTCATGCAAAATCTCCAAAACCCTTCACGCAATAAATCCCAGCTTAAATCTAAACTGCTTACACAATCAGCTGCACTGGCCTGAGTTTATCTAAACCCAAATACAGGATGTTATTTTCTTGAAATTCATGGAAAAGCAAAGTGTTATTCTCTTATTATTTTTCAGTTAAATACATTTGGTCTTCTGGTCCTGGGAAGGACCTAGCATGGCCCTCAGGATACTATTTTACTATCTTTTGTGTGGTTTACTGTGAAGTGAGAGTTTCACTTACACATGGCTGCTTTGGTGACTGGTTCCAGAGGCTGTTGTAAGATGCTCATACAAGAAACATACCTGCAGCCTTGTTCCCTGCAATAACGCCTCCTAGCACCTCTCCCACACTCTTGTTCCCAACAGAACGTGTTTGTACAACTGTCCTTGGCCTTTAGAAATGACAGCTATACCCTGGAATCTAGAATTAACCAGGCTGAAAGAGAACGCAACCTGACAGAAGAGAACACTGAGAAGGAACTGGAAAACTTCAAAGCTTCCATTACGGTAATTGTGGAGCCTGATTTGAGGAATCCTTGGAGAAGGGACTGTCTCCAAGGGCCATGCCGGTGTCACGCTTCTCTCAGTCACCAAGTAGAGTCTCCTGGAATGAAATATCTAGAGCTCAGAGAGCTGGAAGGAGCCGAAGTAGAGATCCTGAAGGCCTGGTTACCTCAGGGCTGTGGGCAAGGCCTCTGGGTCTTTGTGGGCTTCTCAGCAGGGGCCTGGGTGGCCTGGATGTGACTCCTCCTATCAGGCCTGCCATGTATACAGTGTCCACATTGGGCTTCTCCAATCCCCAAAAGAAGCTGTGGCCCAGGCCCTGCAAAGGCCACTTCTTTCAGCCAGGTGGGGCTCAGGGCTCATCTCATCAGAGCCAAGTCCAGGCTTGGTGTCTGTCTTAGTCAGTTCGGGCTGCTGTAACAAAATACCTTAGGCTGCATTGCTTAAACAATGAACATTTATTTCTCACAGTTCTGGAGGCTGAAAGTCCAAGATCAGGGTGTCAGTATGGTCAGGTTCTAGTGAGAGCTCTCTTCAGGCTTGAGACTGCTGCCTTTTCATTATATCCTGACATGTAGAAAGATGGCAAGAGAGCTCTCTGGGACCCCTTTTATAAGAGCACTAATCCCATTCGTGAGGGCTCTACCCTCACGCCTAATCACCTTCCTCCCAAAGGCACCACTTCCTAATAATCACATTGTTTAGGATTTCAGCACCTGAACTTGGGGGGGGCACAAACATTCAGTACCCAACATTATGTGAGGACCCCAGGTGATGCTCCTTCTCTTTCCACAGTCCTCAGCTTCACTCTGGCACCACTGTGAGCACCGGGAGACCTACCAGAAGCTGCTGGAGGACATCGCTGTCCTGCACCGCCTGGCCGCACGCCTCTCCAGCCGAGCTGAGATGGTGGGGGCCGTTCGCCAGGTGAGACTTGCTAGCCCCCAGCCAGCTCTGCTCCACCTGCAGTAACTAGTGCAATGACACAAGCAGGGACAACTACAGATACCACCTAGTAATGGCTTCCTTGGGGCCAGGCATTCTATGTACATTATTGTGGCAGTACTCAGTGTAATTTTGGTGAACAACTAAACCCTTGAAGTGCTTCTTGGCAAAAGCTTTCTGTGGACACAAGTTTGGGAATTACTGTCTTCCTTTCTTGGAGTTTTTTAATGCACATTGGCTTTGAGAAGTCCTGTAGTGAAGAAACCTGTTTAACTTTACCTATGTATTTCCCAGATGTACAGTGGACCCTTGAACAAAGTAGGGGTTAGGGGAGCTCACTCCTGTGCAGTCAAAAATCTGTGCATAACTTGTGACTCTCCCAAAACATAACTACTAATAGCCTACTGTTGACCAGAAGCCTTACAGGTAACATAGTCAATTAACACATATTCTGTATGTTACTGTATCCTTACAATAAGGTAAGCCAGAGAAAAGAAAATGTTATTGAGAAAATCATTAGAAAAAGAACTACATTTAAAAAATTTTTAAATACATTGAAAAAAATCCACTTATAGATGGATCCATGTAGTCCAAACCTGTGTTGCTTTAGTGTCAACTGTATTTAACTGAAGAACCCTCCCCCTCTTTATTTTTCTCAAAAAATACCTATTCAACTCTGATGGAACTAGTATCGGACAAAACATGTTTCGGGAAAAACTTCTTTGTTGTACTTAATCCACCCTGCTACCGTATAAAATAGATCTCTTTTTCTCCAGATGAAATATAGCCTCTCAGAAAGGTAACAGCCCTAGTGAGCGGCAGGGCTGGGTGCAAGCCCAGGCCTGGCGCCCTCTCGGCCCTTGGGAGTCCTGAAGCACACAGAGCACCGCCCTGTCCAGCATGAGGTTGCAGGACCACACTGCCTGAGTTCTAATCCTGGCTTCACCCCTCATTTGCTGTGTGCCCTTGGGCTGGTTATTGAGCTCTCTACACTTCAGCTCCTCCCACGGGAAACTGAGGATGACTATGGTCTCTGCCATGTAGGTTGCTGTAATACTCATGAAGCACTTAGATGATGTTACAGTTGCTATTATCACAGACCGTGTCCTGCTGCACTTGGTTGTGTGAGAGGATGTTCCTGAGCAATCCTGTAAAATGAAAGGACAGGTCACTGGTCCATCCCACCCTTGTGTCCTTCTGGAGAAAGAGTACCTGACTCAGCAGCGTTGCCCAGGAAGTCACTCCAGCTGGGAGCAGCAACCCAGGGAGGACTCTAGGGAAGTGGCTCATCTCAGCCCCACATGGCCATGGGGAACTTTTCAGGGAAGTCACTGTGCACGTCCTTCCGTGGCCAGGCAGGGTCTGGGCTGGGCCCCCTGAAGTATCCAAGAGGGGTATGAGCGGAGAAGAATGATCCTCGTGCTGTACAGCCTTCCCAGACGTGTCCCCCGACCCATGTGTTACTCACTCTGTCTTCACTCTTCTCCAAACAGCTCCCCCATCCTGGCTTCTGGGTCCCCATCCTTGCCTTCCTCTTGGCTCCACTGGACTAGTTCAGGCCCTTGTCCTGTTGTTCCCTGTCACTCTCACGGCCCCGGTCTCACTCCCTTCAGTACCTTCTCCACTTGTGACCTGATTACATCATGCTCTTACTTTAGACATTCTATGGCTCCCCTTTTCCTTCAGAATAAGTCCAAATTCCTTCATCCAGCATTCAAGGTCCTTCACAACCCAGGCTTAACTTGCATTTTTTTCTTACAAATCAACCAAACTGCTCGCTGATTCTTACATAAGCAGGATGGCCTGTACTGTCTGGGTTTGCCCGACAGCCCTGGTATATGCCTATCATCCCAGCATAATTTATAATAGCACCCCATTTCACTCTCCAGAAGATGCCTCTCTGGAGGATAAATCCCACCCACACACAAGCCCTGCAATCTCCTGCCTCTGGACTCATTTTGCAGTTCTGAAGCCTGAGGGCTCATTGTCCTTCCTGCTCATGTCTATGTGCCAGACTCTGCCCACATCCTACATCCACTTCATCCCATCTCCATGATGCCTCCCCTGACCCATTCTCTGCAAGCAGAACCAAATTCCCTCCACCTCTCATCTCCAGCAGCACTGTGGCTGTGCTTTTCTCGTCCCCCCTGAACACCTGAGTTCCCCCTGGTGCCTGAGTCCACCTCTCAGCTCTCGTCCCAGCACTCTTAGAGGCCAAAGACACATCTGATGGGTCCCTGTGTCCTTTAGATCCTCTCAGCCCAGAGCCTTGCTCAGAGCAAACAAGCGCTGGTGGAGCCTTGCCTGCACCCTACACTCATTCTCCCCGTCCTTGCAGGAAAAGCGCATGTCGAAGGCAACAGAAGTAATGATGCAGTATGTGGAGAATCTGAAGAGGACATATGAGAAAGACCATGCAGAACTCATGGAGTTTAAAAAACTTGCAAATCAGAATTCAAGCCGCAGCTGTGGCCCCTCTGGTAAGTTCATAGGCTCCTGCCCCCATCTTGGCCCTATAATGAGGGCCCCCAATGGCTCTCAGTTATGATCAGTGCTATCAGGGCAGCCCCAGGACTTGTTTCCAGTTAAGCAAGGCTCTCTGACCCTGCCCAATGCTGCCCACAGGGAATTCACAGCAGCTGCTTCAGGGAGCCTGGGGACCTGGAACCAGGTAACGTGAACAGCCCCAAAGTGATCTCCTAACTCCCAACACAATAAACCAGAGGGGCTGACTGCAGACACAAAGTCCACGAGCTGCAAGAGCTCACTCTGCTCTGTAAGAGTAGTCCCAGACCCTGTAAGTCTTTGTGCTGTGGAACCCCCTTTTGGGGAGCATATGCTAAGGAATTTGGGCTTTATTCTGGGAAGCATTAGGGATCCAACCAAGGATTTTAATCAGGGAAATGACATGATCATAGATGTAGTTTAAGAAGGTTCCCTCTGACTGCAATGTGGCAATTACACTACTTGGGCAAACCAAATACAGGAAACCCCATGAAGACACGATTGCAATAGTCTAGGCAAGGGATGAAGTCTGGGCAATGGGGGTGGAGTGAGAGCCTGGCTAAAGGAGATGTTGCTGAGATAAATAGTGTTTTAAAGAAATACTCTTTTTTTAAGTTCTATACAAACTGCTATAGGAGCATAAAGGAGGGGCCACTTGATTCTGCTTAAGGGATTCAAGGAAGTCTTCACAGAGGAATGGCATCTGGATAGCGCTCTCAAGTAAAAATGAGAGAGTACTTCAAAAACTTCATGGAAAAATAGAATTAAAAGATCTTTCCACAAACTTTTTGAAGACTCCCCTCATAGGAGCTCTCCAGTCAAGAGGGAGAAATACATCCCAGGTGGAGGAAACAGCATGGACAAAGGAGTGGAGATTGTGGGAGAAATGGAGACAAGACAGTTTGATGTGGTTGCAATGACGGGGTGTGATAGAGGCTGAAGGCGAGACTTGGTAGACCAGGGCCCGCACAAGCCATGCTAACAATTCAGGCCTTTGTCCTCTAGGCACTGGGCAGTCATTGGTAAGTTTGCACCCATATCATAAACAGATCGTATTTTTAGAAGATTATTTGGCTTGAGAGTAGACAATGCACTGGAGGTGTGCAGAGGGTGAAGTAAGGAGAGACGAGTTAGGAGGCTCTTTTTCAGCCCAGGAGGGAGAGGATAGTGACTTGGACCAGAATTTCTCTTTGGGTGTTGCCAAGGTTTGGGCTCCGGCTGATGAGGGCGACTAGCAGTAGAAAACAGACCTTTTAGCAACAGGAATCCCTGTGGAATGCAAACATCCGTGTTACCAAGAGCAGGAGGAGGGAAAGTACAGACAGTATAACAGATGTAGAAACCTTTATAAACAGGAGGTTTCACAAGTTTCCTGGGGAATATCAGTGACACTTCCCAGAGTCCCAAGGCAGTGTATACATGCTCCAGACTGCCTGCTTTGGATCTTGGCAGCAAGGCTCCTGACCCACATGCATCTGTGCCTCTAACAAATAGCTCCCTGTCAGTGTTGGAAGCTGGAGAAGGTGCCGCCAAAGAAATCCTGCAAGGTTCAAGGTCTCTTGTGAATCACTTTATCCAAGATTTATGGGAAGAGCAGTTACCCATGAGGCTCATTCATTCATCCTACAGACATTTATTGATCACCTTTGGTATACCCCATATGATACTGGAATATAGAGATAAAGGGCACACAGTGCCAGACACAGAGGAGCTCCCAGCCTGTGGGGAGGTCAGGGCATTCTAACCAGCACTGTTACAGAAGTAAGCAGACTTCCACAGGGAGCACACTGCAGAGTCCCACATTCAGTCCAGGGGAATGAGAAAATGCTTATAATAGGAAAGATCACAATAGCTGAGTCTTGAATGATGGACAAATGTTTTGCGGGTATTGTTTCCACTCCGGTTGTTTTTCCAAGCTCTGCCTCAGCTTGGGCTGGTGCAGAGGGGCCGACCCCCTCCCAGCAGGTGTGTCCACTCCCAGCAATGTTTGTTTTTTAAGGCTTTACATGACTTCTGGTAATCTTTGCCTATGCCTGAGGCTTTGAAAACTACAGCAAATAAAATATCCGTGATTTCAAAAAAAGTAATGCATATTAAAAAAAATAACATCTACTCTTTTTTCTGAACATGAAACATGCTAATTGTCTACATTTTGGATTATTTCCTTAAGATAGATTTCTGGAAGTATAAATACTAGCATGGGGGAAAATATTTCTAAGACTCTTAAAGCAAATTATTTTCAAATAACTTTTGAAATTATCCATTTATATTTTCATTTAGTGGGTTACAATAATGATCGATTCATTGTGCCATTGACACCATTCTTGTCATTTCTTTTAAAATATTTATGACTTTGATAGGTCAAAATTTTGTCTTATCGTTTTCATTTATATCTCTGTCTTTCCAAATGTTTACAAAATGTTTGTATTTCTACTTTTGTAAATTCTCTATTTATGGTCTTTGCCCACTTCTAAGATTGGTATTTTATTAATTTGTATGAACTCTTCATATATAAAGAGTATTTTCTGGTTCTCCTATATTGGCTGACTGGAAAACTTGAAAATACTTTGACCACAATGCTCAGAAATGTCTGCTGGGCAAAATAAAGCAAACCTTAGTCTAAAAGACTAGCTGAATCCACAGGAAAATAAATTGAAATACACAGATACAAGCAAAGGAAAGAGAACTGAAACCAAGCTGACTCTGCGGCTTCCTTGGGGACAAATGTCAGCCTCAGTTATCTGGGGACTGAGCTTTTGCACGTACATGTGATCTGAGACTAGGCCTTGAACACCTGTGGTAGAGAGTGAACACTGAGATTCCCAAGAGAGTTAAGACCTTCCAAAGACTCTATCTTTAGATAGAATTGGGGCAAGAAAAAAACAGTCACCAACCAGCACAGGGGAAAAAAAAAGACAAGGAAATTTTTCTGTTTCACCCTGGGCACTAGTAGGAAAAAACACTTTTTCCTTCCTCATAGGAAAAGTGCATGCCCAAAGTGTCAGCCGTGATGATGCAATATGCAGAGAATCTGAAAAGAACAGCAAGACGGTGCCTCTTGGAACACTGTCAGAAACAAACAGAAAGCCACTTAGAGGGACACACCCTGCACCCAGGGCACACAGGATTCCTCCAAATGAAGCTTCCCTGAAGATGAGTTCACAATATAAAATTGTAAAATAAACAAGAAGACAATCCACCACAAACAAGAATCATCTAGACCCACCAAACAATAGGATTATATCTTAAGAACCTCAGATAATAAAATAATCTGATTATATTTTTTAAAGAGATACATTTAAAATTATTAGAGGCATAAAAAAAGCAGATTGAAAATATGAGAGTATTTGTTAATTAGTAATAATATTTTTTAAATGATTTTAAAACAAAAAAGAATACACTTATCAAAAAAAAAATAGAATTCCTTGAAATGAGGAATAAAGTCATGGGAATTAAAAACTCAGTAGTTTAGGTATGATAGGTGTGGTAGTTGAAACTGTTCCTCCAAATTCCTGATCTCCTCCTTCTAGGCACACTTCCCCATGCCTTTGAGTTAGGTAAGGCCATGTGACTTGCTTTGGTGAATGAACTGGGAGCAGAGGGACATGTGTCACATCTGGGCTGAGGCATTTAAGAACTAGTGTGAAATTTGCCCTGTTCCTTCCTCCTGACCTGACAACCATCACTGCTCCAGAAGAGTAGAAGTTCCAGTAGCCTGAGCCCTGAGTGAGGAAAAGCAGAGCAGAGCCTGCTGCCAACTCAGAAGTAAATGAGCATAAAAAAGACATAAATCTCTGTTGTTAGTAGCCACTAATACTTTGGGGGTGTTTGTTACTGTAGCATAACCTAGCTTATCCTGACTGGTAGAACATTTAAATCAGATTGAGCACAGTTGAAGAAAAAACTAACTAACTGGAAAATAGATTTGAAGAAGTTATCTAAAATGCAGTTCAAAGGGATAAACTGATTAAAAATATGAAAGAAACATTATGAGATATGGAATATAGGGCATAGAATGAGAAAGTCCCAAATACATTTATAGGGCAGCTCATAAAGAGAGAACTGGAAGGGAGAAAATATTCAAAGAAAGTATGGCTAAGAATTTTCCAGAACTGAAGAAAGACCTGAATCATTGGCTTGAAAAAGCATAGTAAATTCTAAGCAGAAAAAAAAAGGACACATCAAAGAGAAACTGCAGAGCAGCAAAGACAAAGTGAAGATCTTAAAGGTAACCAGAAAGAGAAGATTATTCACAAAAGAATAACAATTCTCGATAGCAATAATAGTACCAAAAGACAACGGAGTAATCTCTTCAAACAGCTGAGAAAAAATAACTTTCAACCCAGAGATAGTACAAACAGCTAACCATCATGCAAGATTGAGGGCTGGGTAAAGACATTTTGAGACAACAACTGAGAAAGTTTACCTCTCAGAGACCCTTGCTGAAAGAACTAACTAATATACCTAAGGAAGAATACAATTGAGCTCGAGAGAAAGGAGTGAGATGCAAGAAGGAATGGTGATCAAAGACACTTGTAAACATGTAGGCAAATCTAAATAAATAAGCCTTCTCTGTAGAAAACAACAGTCATAATGAATAATTTGGGAATACAAACCAAGGTGACATAAAAATAGAAAAGCAATACAAGGGGACTTCAAAAAGTTCATGGAAAATGGAATTAAAAGATAAAAATAAAAAATATAAACTTTATTTCTCAACACAAGCTCCTTTAAGTTCATGACACTTTTGAAATCAATGATACCAGCCATTTAGTCCATCCCTAAAGAACTGAGGGTCCTGGGAATTTAGCCATATCAATGCAGTCTTTTTTACATTATGAACTGAAGAAAAATTTGTGCCCTTTAAAGATTTTTTTAAGATTAGGAAACAAAAAGATGTCAGAAGGAGCCATATCAGGACTGTAAGGTGGATGCCAAATGATTTACCACCTAAACTCCCACAAAATTGCCCTTGTTTGATGAGGGGAATGGGCAGGAGCATTGTCATGATGGAGAAGAACTCTCTGGTGAAGATTTCCCAGGTGTTTTTCTGCTAAAGCTTTGGCTTTCTCCAAACACTCTCATAATAAGAAGATGTTATTGTTCTTTGGCCCTCCAGAAGGTCAGTAAGCAAAATGCCTTGAGCATCCCAAAAAACTGTTGCCATGACCTTTACTCTTGACCAGTCTGCTTTTGTTGACTTGACCACTTCCACCTCTTGGTAGCTGTGGCTTTGATTGCACTTTGTCTTCAGAATCATACTGGCAAAGCCGTGTTTCATCTCCTGCTACAATTCTCTGAAGAAATGCTTCAGGATCTTGATCCCACTTGTTTAAAATTTCTGTTGAGAGCTCTTGTCTGCAGCTGATCAGGACACAACAGTTTTGGCACCTATGGAGCAGAAAGTTTGTTCAACGTTAATTTTTCAGTCAGAATTGTGTAAGCTGAGCCAATTGAGATGTTTCTGGTGTTGGCTACCATTTCTCCTGTTAATCATCAGTCCTCTTCAATTATGGCACAAACAAGATTAATTTTTTCCTTGCAAATTGCTGTGGATGGTCTGCCACTGTGGGCTTCATCAACAACATAGTCTCTTCCCTTCTTAAAATGAGTATCCATTTGTGAACTGCTGATTTCTTTGAGGCATTGTCCCAATAAACTTTTCATAAAGCAGCAATGATTTCACCATTCTTCCACCTAAGTTCTGCCATAAATCTGATGTTTGTTCTTGCTCCAATTTTAGCAGAATTCATGTTGCTCTGATAGGAGCTCTTTTCAAACTGATGTCTTAGCCTTTTAGTGCCTCAAACCAGATCCTGTTCAGACATGTTTAACAAGTTAGTATGAGTTTATTTTCGTGCAGAAAAATTTGCAGTCTATGCATAGTTTTTTCATAATATGCCTTTTCTATGAACTTTTTGAAGACTACTCATATACTTAAAATTGGAGGGGGTAATTGTTTTAAGATTTATTCAAGAAAAAAATAGATGTCTCGATTAATTTTAAAGTGAATATGGAAGTGAAGTTAATCTGAGGTGAAGCAAACAGAAAATTGTGGAGGTTTTGTTGGAATGAATCTGAAGTCTGCTGCAGTAAAACACTGAAGGCTTTAAAATGTTTTCTTGCATAAAACTCAAACTTTAAGTAGCTGCTTATGAAGATAGGGAAGGCAGGAAGCTAATGTCTGTCTCAAGATACAGGACAGCTATTTGCTCATCAACCTCAACTGCCCCAAGCAACAGCAGGAAAGACAACCGGACATAGGGAACTGGGGACTTCTATACAGAGAGAGAACTACAAAGCATCCTCAGTAGAGTAGGAACCCTGATCCAAAGTCCCTATACTTCTATCAGAGTGCGCAACAGAGGAACACGGCTCAAGAAACCAATCACAGGCAAATGCCTATGCTTTGTTCCACTGGCTGTGGATTTTACAGAAACCCTCACACAAATAGCATGTGTTCAGAATGCTATAAAGAACATCCTCAAAGACAGAATAGTAGTAACGGTAGAAAAATCCACCTGCGGCTTCTGTCAGTAGTCTGAATCTTTTACCAGTTCAATGCACAGATGGCAGTGTCCCCGAAGCTCAGTCAACATTAGACTCTACATCTTCATCGATGCAGCCAAAACCTGTATCAAATCAGTCACTTTTATCAGAATCTGTAGCATCTCCCCAAGTGGACAGCACATCTGTGGACAAAGCAGTACCTGAAACAGATGATCCGCAAGCTTCAGTATTAGATACAGCATAACAGCCACCTGAAGAGCAAAGCAAGTCTCTTGAAAAAAACAAAACAAAAAAAGAATTGCTGTTTCATGTGCAGGAAAAAAGTGGGACTTACTGGGTTTGAATGCTGGTGTGGAAATGTTTACTGTGGGGTAACTCACATATAACATAAGCGTTACTCAGATATACACAATTGCTCTTACAATTGCAAAGCTGATGCCACTGAGAAAATCAAGAAAGAAAATCCAGCAGTTGTTGTCAAAAAGATCCAGAAGATTTGAACTCCTGCTGGAATACAAAATTCTCTGATCATCTGCAAACTAAAAATTGACTGAGGTTTTTTTTCCTAATCATTGGGAATGTAGAGCAATGTGTCTTGCATAGACGTTCTAATCATGCATGTTATCAGAAGAATAGATTTTTGTTTTTGTTTTGAAAATGACTCTGAACATTTATTTCCATTGCAGTTTCTGTGGTGAAAAGACTTAACTTTACAAGTATTATCCTTTTAAGATCATTTTAATGTTAGTTGAGTGCAGAGGGCTTTTATAACAAACATGGAGAAATTTTGGAGGGCTGTGATCTTTCCAGTATTAAACTTGCATGCATTAATCTTGTGGTTTATTTTCTCATTGTGTGTGTGTGTGTGTGTGTGTGTGTAGCTTTTCTCTGCAGCATGATTTCTCTTGATAATGCCCTTTAGAGCACAACTAGTTATGAGTAACTGAGTGTATCTTAATCATTATGGCTGCTTCTGTTTTTCCATTAACAAAGGTTATACATATGTTAGCATATGGTTTCTTTGCACCCACTATTTATGTCTGAATCATTTGTCACAGAAGAGTGTGTGCTGAGGAGATTATAAGTTTGTGTGTTTTAAAATTTTTTTTGAGTGAAGGAAGAAAAAGCTGTATGCATTTCATTGCTGACTACAGATTTCTTTCAGATTACGTTCATTGGCCTGTGTGTACACACTATGAAGAATGATCTGAAGTAATTGTGCTGTATTTATGTCTATCCACCAGTCTTTGATTAAATAAAAAGGAAAATCAAATAAATAAATAAATAATAAAGTCAATATGTTCAAAAGTTAAGGGGACACACTAAAAATTAGAAATACGATGTATAAGTTCCAAACTGATGTGTGGGGTGGGAGGGAAGTTAGAAAAAACAAAGCAAAGTGGATAGAAAATAGAAAATAAGATGGCAGAAACAAATACAAATATATCAATAATCACAAGAAATATAACCAATGTAAACCTGTTGATTAATAGAGAATTTCAGATTAGGTTTTTATATATATATATATACACAGCTATGTGCTTTTAAAGAGACACATCAAAAATATATGCATATGAAAGAGAGATAGATATACAGGCTAGATAATTCGGTCAAACCGAATCAAAATGAAATAAGCTTCTTGCAAATTCCTTTCTCTGCATGTATTCAGATTTTTCCTGGCAGCAGTATTAGCCTGGTATGATGCTAAACATTTTACATGAATTATATCATTTAATGTATAAAATAAGGAAAAGAAAATTCTGGGGGTGGTAGCTTCCTTTGTTCTGAATCATCTTGTAGGTAACATATTGAAACTACTTCTGTCAGCAAGTTTTTATTCTTTACCAACGCCACACCTTCCTTGCTCATAGTTTCCCTGACTGTATATTCCTTGAATGAGCACGAAATGACCTAATAAGCCTTGGTATTGATATAGGTAGTTTTCACACACTATCCAGGGTGTCACCCAGAGACTGTGTAGAGATGTCAGATGAAGATCACAGGTGACCAGTGCTCAGGGGAGTTAGGATAAAGGTTTTGTCCAAAAACCCCTCACTCTGAAGATGATCATCTCAGAGGTTAAACTGCCAAACTCAATGTCCCCAACACTCAGACTCTTGGGTCATCTTTTGAGGGCCAGTTCTGGTCCATAGACACCTTGGCTTAGTTTCTGCCTGCCTGTTTCCTGCTGCAGCCTAGTCTGAAACTTATCTGAGTTCTCTTCTCTGTTCCTTCCTGCTGCAGAAGATGGGGTCCCTCGCACAGCGCGGTCCATGTCCCTCACGCTGGGAAAGGTATGCATTTTCAAGGAATACCAGGACTCCCAGAAGGAGTATGACAGAAGTTTCTATGGTCACCCAAGAAATCATTCATTCTTGGATACATGAGTGCCCTAGAACCTCCAAACATTGTTTCTATTCAGCTTCCCATACTTGCTAGCTCACCTTCTGACATCTAACCTATTCTGCTCATAGTTTCCCTGGATATATATCCCTTAAAAGAACATAAAATAATGCATAAGCCTTGGTATTGTTACGGCAGTTTTTACACACTATCCAGGGTGTTATCCAGAGACTGGGGGGGTCATGACCATTCTGTTCCTCCATAAACTAAAATAGGAACATATTGAGAGATCATCCACCACCAACAGAAAATTTGGGTCAATTTTAGACAGTCTCTCCACACCAGTTTCCAGCATCATCACTACCCCAAAACCAAAATGTCCAGTGAATGTCATCACAGCATTAAGAACCAGTAGGCTTTATCCAGGCCCTTCTAATCTGTGGCTATCGCTACTTCCAAGACAGTGGGCCTGGTCATGTCTCTTTCCACAGAATATGCCCCGCCGGAGGGTCAGCGTTGCCGTGGTTCCCAAGTTCAATGCCCTGAATCTGCCTGGCCAATCTCCCAGCTCATCACCCATCCCCTCTTTACCAGCCTTGGTGAGTATGACGATGCCTGCCTTCCAGACCTATTCTCCCTTTTCCTCTCGCTCACTACTATGGGGGTGAGCCAGTGGTGGCAGGGTCAACAAGGAAATTGCCAGCACAGAATCTGGGAAATGGGCTCAAAAGTCTCAGCGTAGACCAGGTCACATGTATTCCACTGCTCTGAGAAGAGGTCTCAGTGCCCTTGAGCATGGTGTTGGAAGCTCAGAGAATGTTCCTGACAAATGTCTCTTTTTGTGCTTAACCCACAATCCTCCAAGGTGGATATGATTTTTTTCTACTCTGCAGTGAGTTTTTGGTAGCTAAGGGTTGTAAAGTGTAGTTAATGGTAGACCTGAGCTTTGAACCTTAGGTTCTCTAGTTCCAGAGCCTGCATTCTTAAACCCACTGCCTCAATTCATTGCAACATTGTTTATAATAATGAAAAACAGGAAACAATTCAATGTCCATTAATAAGAGAATGGTTAAACAAATTATGGATATCACTATAAGGGGTTTCTATAAAAGAAAATTGTCCCTAATTTATTATAAATAAAAAGCAATTAAAAATAGTATATGCAAAAATTAGTATGTAAACAGTATGATTCTGTTTTGTACTTAAAAAAAAGTGTGTTTCTGTGTGTACACATAGAAAATCCTGGAAGAAGACATGTGAAACTATTAATAAGGTTATCTCTGGGCAATGGTAAACAGGTAATTTTTATTTTCTTCTTGATTCCTTTTTATATTTCTATAATAAGAATGTATTAGTAATAACCAGAAAAAATATCCATTTCCATTTTTTTAAACAAAGTTCTTATATAACTTCCACATCACAGGCCTTTGTGTATCTGGCTAATTCTATCTAAAATTCTTCTAATTCTTTCTCCAGTGGTTTCCCTATTCTCTGTCCATGACCAGCATTACTCTATAAGGAAACAATTTGATTGAGTAAGCAATAGGTAAAGTAGATACACGCTCTGTTGTTCCAATAAGTAGCATTAATCACTTTCTGCCTCAAGCACTTCAATCATATATGAAATCAACCTAAACTGACAAATCACCCACTAAAACAAAGAACCTTAAAAAAATGTCTTAAAGGAGGTTGGAAAGGGTTGGTTAGTGTTAATATTCTACTGTTAATATTCTAACAGACCTATTCCTCATACTCTACCTAAATGTATAAATGTGGCTTCCAAATATACTCGTGTATTACTTTAGACTAGGGAGTGGCAACCAGGGCTATACATTAAAACCATACAGGGTACTTTTAAAATGTTCTATACCCAGGCTCCACCCCCAAAATTCTGGAGTGGATCAGTACTTTTTAAAAAATCTCCCCCAAGTGATTCTAATGTGCATCCAGAGTTGAGAACCATTGCTTAAACCAAATCCATTGCAACAAAACAACATGGAAATCCTGGGGAATTTATTACAAAGAAGTTTCCAATGGCTTGAACTTTTAGTAATGACAGGAATTTGCCATGAATTGTGCTTGGAGCTGTATATCTAGGGGCAGTGATGGGTTTGTGTGAATCCATCCAAGGGAACTCCTCATTTGGTAGGAGGCCCACTGCTGTTCAGTTACAGTCAGTAAACAGGGGACAGAGAAGAACTGACGGTTCCCTTCCAGAATGGAGCAGGTGGCATGTGCCCTAGAGGGAAGGGACAGAGAGGAAGGGAGAACAAGAAAGGCCTGAGAGAAAGGGCCCAAGCCTGGGCTCAGATGCAGATTGGAAAGTGTTGGGGTGGGGACGGATAAGGGAAAAGAGGAGCCCAGCAGCGCCCCTCCCCAGCATCATCAGAGACCCAGCAGCCCTGGCTTCTTTCTNGTAGGAGGCCCACTGCTGTTCAGTTACAGTCAGTAAACAGGGGACAGAGAAGAACTGACGGCTCCCTTCCAGAATGGAGCAGGTGGCATGTGCCCTAGAGGGAAGGGACAGAGAAGAAGGGAGAACAAGGAAGGCCTGAGAGAAAGGGCCCAAGCCTGGGCTCAGATGCAGATTGGAAAGTGTTGGGGTGGGGACAGATAAGGGAAAAAGGAGCCCAGCAGCGCCCCTCCCCAGCATCATCAGAGACCCAGCAGCCCTGGCTTCTTTCTTCCATAGCTCATCCTCAATTCTCTGTCTCCTGTTTTCCATTCAGTCAGAATCACCCAATGGGAAAGGCAACCTACCTATCACCTCAGCACTGCCTGCACTTTTGGAAAAGTAAGTTTGTCATTTTTCCTCTTCACTTTGGGGGCCTCTAAGGAAAATTTCCCCAACTCACCTTTCTTCCTCCCATCTTCACCCCCAAAATGTGATAGAAAGCAAATTAAGTTCTAGGGGAAATGAATGGGATGCTGAGACCCACAAAGATTTCAGACCCAGACCTGGACCAGGAAGACGCTATGGCTAAGGTCAAGTGCATCCAATCTAAGAAGAGCCCAGAGGTGATGGAAGCCTTCTCTGTTGGTTAGAATTCTTTGGGCTACAAATACAAGAAAGTCCCACCTCAACAGGTCTTAAATAATAAGCCCAGAAGTAGGGCTGCTCCAGCTGGGACACAGCAAAGCTCCAGCTCGGCCTCTCTCCAATGACCTTGTCTCTGGCCACTTTGCGTGTTGACTTCATCAGCAAGCTTGTGGCAAACGGCTGCTAGTTCCAGGTGCCCCATCCAGATAGGACAATAACTAGAGGAAGAAAGGGACAATTTTTCCCATGTTTCTTTCCCAGGAATGAACCCTGAAGACTTTCACCAGTCTTCCCTCTTATGTCATTGGCAAATTTGGAACATGGTCCCTTTCTAAACCAATCACAGGCTTTGGGAATCAGATTATCATTATGGACTTAGCCTATCCCTGCAGATGGGGAGAGTGTCAGCTTCCCGTGAAGCAAAATGACTCTGTGAAGAAGAATAAATTCCTAAACAAAATCCCGTTGCTATTGGGAAGTAGGAAGGAAGATGAGTGTTGGAATAGCAACCAACAGTGTCTACTACGCCTAACTTTTCTAGTCATCTATGCAATTTGCAGGTCTTTTCATCCTCAGCCAGAGCAAGGCAGGCTGTTTCTATGCACTCAGAGGAGTTTATAATTTACTTTTCAAATTCTTTCATTCGCTTGCTGGAAAACATCTGGCTCACAGCTGCTACTTCTCAGAACTTTCCCCTTTTGTGTCTTTCTTTACTTGGTAGAACTTATACCTTATTCTTCCTTCTTCCTTGCCTTGAGGCAGTTTTAGTCCTTCATTTTTCATGGCTGTTAAAAAAGTTTTGCTTGACCTGGCAGAGAATGTGTACAGACAAGCTCCCAAGCTCCCCACCCCCAGACCCAGCCTGTTTTCCTCACCTCTCAGTACATGCAACCACCAATTTGTCACTCAGTGACTCAGCCCATGTTAATCTTGATGTTTGCCCAGCATTTTCTCCCTTTCCTACCTCACCCCCATAAGCTTACAGGTCCTCATGTTATGGAGGACCGACTTTCTCTCTTTCTTTCTTTCTTGATCACTACAGGGAAATTGTAAAGGGATGACAAATTAACAACTATATGGAAGTAACCAAGATTATAGAACCTTACCAGTCTCTAGTCATAGTGCCTAGTCCATGGTCTCTGAATTTCTCCAAAAATGGTCACTTGATAATAAGATCAAATAGCCTGTGGCTAGTTCACCAGCAAACACCTGAGAGCAGATTGCACTGCCCAATGTGATCTGAGAGAATTCTAAGCCTTGCTCTTGTAAGTTGTTTTGTAATTAACTGCTTGTTGCTCAACAAGGGTCTTAGAACCTGTAGACTTAAAGAAACATTTAAGTAGAGAGTGATATTTAAAGTCAGTCATAAAGAACAAAGCTCAAGAACAAAAGTAGGAAGAGCTGTATATTCATATTCTTTCACTCTTTCATTCCTTTGACAATTAATCACCAGTAGAATGCACTCGAGGACCTCACAGTCTGGGAAGGACAGATGGGAAACACCCTATTATAATACAACATGTCAGGTAATGTAGTAAGGAAGTACAGGGTGCTAAGGCAACAACACACAAGCCAATAAGCACCTAACCCAGTTTGGGTGTGGGGCTAGGGGAGGGGGAGGCTCAGAAAATGTTTCCCCTAAGAACTTACTTTTAAAGTGAAACCTAAAGGTTATACAATTAACTAAGTGAACGGGAGGTTAGCAACATCTCAGGCTCTGAGGCAAGAAAGTGTGGAATATTCAAGGAATCATGATGATAATGACGATGACTGTTATTATTTACTGCACACTCACTTCATGC